AAAGATGGGAGTGAAGAAAGAGAGTTGTTGCTGTAGGTCTGGCTCCATGGAGTCCCTTATTTAGTCATATCAATAGTAGTAGACAGCCTTTAAACGAAACTGTGATGGTGTCCTTAATAGCAAGCTTATTAGATTGCTGCCTTTATTATAGTTATGGTGTCCGTAATGGGCAGCCTTAAGTACTCAGTTGCGTTGCTTCTTGGCGGTGCCGTCCTTTTGTTGTGCAGGTGCTGCATCACTGGTTCCTTCTCTGGACTTTGTAGAAGATGATAATTGGATTGGTCCTTAAACTTGTGTAAGTTATTTTCCTTTAATGGAAAATTTTCCTTTAACTATCAATCCCTCAATAGGCAATGGAGTATTTACGAAGATATAGTTCATCCACAGTCATGTGTGACTTGATTCCAATCTGGATACATATGACACTTTTAAAAAAGACTCAACCAAAAAAAATTGAAGATCCTCTTTAAGGGTATTATGCAGGCACCTTAATAAAGGAATATTTCATGGATTTTTTGATAAAAAAAAAATCCTTCCGTTAAATAGAGGGAAAATAGCTGGATTTAAAGTATGATCAAGGAATCAAACTGACTTTAAACAAAATTTTCATTCTTATTCAATAAAACAGAAGCAAATCCTCATTTCACTCAACTTGCGTAAGGTTTGTTCTTAACAGCAATTAGATTGGTAGTCTAAGTACCATATTTAGGTGCAACTCAACATATTATAATTAAACAAATTCCTTTCTATTCTTATGAAACCCATAAGTATGAAAGTATTGATTAATCAACATACAACTAAAATTAAAATGTTTTTCTCTTACATAAAACAATATAATTAACATATTTGTTATCAAAATTGAATTGTCAAAAACAAAAATCTTATAGCACTAACTCGTATGAGTAGAATTAAGTTGAATGAAAATTTAGTATACTTATTTTCTAGTCAAACTTTGCTTTACGATTTAAGTCATGATTGCTTTAGGTATTTAGGTAATTGAACAATTTAAACTATACTCTCCGGATTATTAATAAATGCTTACTGCCCAATTTTTCTATTTTTCATAAGTTTTGTCCTTATGTATATGTTGTCTTTTTAGCAAATACAAACAGAAATCAAAAGTAATAGAAAAAAAATGAAAGAAAATAAAAAAAGAGCTATTAGCCTTTCCAATTAAATGCTTAATTTTCCCCTTTCTCAGCATAACTATTTCTTTAAGATTCTTTATCTGAGGTCACTTCCAATATTTAAGAAATACAAACAGAAATCAAAAGAAATAGGGAAAAAATCAAAGAAAATAAAAGAGCTATTAGCCTTTCCAATTAAATGCTTAATTTTCCCCTTTCTTAGCATAACTATTTCTTTAAGATTCCTTATCTGAGGTCACTTCCAATATTTAATTCGTAACTGTGGTTAGTTTTGCAGGGAACCATGGTTATTTTTTTAAAATATCATCAATCATTTTCCATACTATTTTCAAGTTTCTAAAATTTTATATTAAAAAAAATACCATTATCATACACTCATCATTTAAAGATTGATGCTGAGAAAATGAGTATAAACCCAAGTATTAAAAAAATTCCTATTGAAAGATTGATGCTGTAGTTTGTACACACAATGGTGATCACCTCTTCTGTTCCTTGAATAAGGATCTTGACGCTGACTTTTTCTATTAATAACAGTTACTATTTTTGCACAAAAATCTATGCATAATTTGTTGTCCTTTTAAGCAGAGGAAAAGAGAGACGTATAACATTATGGAGGGTTAGTATGAGTTTAAACATTCCGGGAGTGGATTTCTGAGTTCCAGAAATGAACTTAACAGACCTTTTAGATCAACTTAAATTACTTTGTCACTTCTTACTCCTTATCTTGATATCTTTGAAATGCAAGGATTAATTTATGGTCTAGAAATTCCATATATTATTAACTTTCGGTATAAATTAACTGTAATTTTGATCCTCTGATCTGTTATTTCAGGGCATCCATGCATGCATGGTTGACAGGGGAAGGAGGTGGTGAAATCAGACCCGTGGCTGTTGGAGAAGCTAGACCAGTGGTTGTTATAAGCTGAAACTTCTATATCCCCTGCCCTATGTATAATCTCAAACTGTACAGGCACCTCGTTGGCTAAATTCCTAGCTACCTGTCTACTTATTAGGTCTGCTTTCTTCTATAAATTTTCTAGAAAGCATAGGCTTTATTAGTTTGGAGCTCGAGTTAAAGAGCCGAAGCCTAGATGAGACTTAATAAATCTTTGATCTTTGCAGTGTGAATGTTGAATGATGATCAGAGCTCGTAAAGGATTATCAGAATTTGTTCACAAAAGTTCCTATTGGTTGCTGACTTAATTGTATAAACCTAGTAAAAAGGTTCATATTACTTATGCAGATGCCAAGAAAAGGCAACCTTGAGGCCAAGTAAAAGGCCTCAATTCTGCATTAACATCAGGAGAGGACGGGTGCAAGTGTGACTGCACAGCAGTGTTGGCTGAATTGGAGATTGCAAGGGTGAGATAAATATGAGGCAGGATGTAAGAAAATGCAACTTTGAGGCCAATTTAAAGGCTTCAATTCTGCATTAAGATTGGGAGAGGACTGGTGCAGGTGTAACAGCAGAGAAATTGCGGCTGAATTTGGAGATTATAAGAATAAGAGGGAAACTGAAGTAAGGATTGAGATTTCGGAGTTAATTAACAGGTTTAGCAAGCATTCTCTACATATAGACTCTGACGAACTTGCATTTCACAAATTAGTGCATGCAAGCCCCATATAGCTTCTTCTCAATATAGATTAAGTTGCCCCTTCTTCTCAATATAGATTAAGTTGCCATTAACTGCATAGCAATGTCGGGATTGGAATACAACATAACAATTTGATTCTCATACAATATAAAATAAAATAAGGAACATATTTAGCAGTAAGTAAAGTCAAAACTGCACACCCAAATCAACAATAAACGATATAATCATTGGAGCAAGAAAGCTACCCTTTTCAAAACAGCAAGGCAGTTCAACATTAGAACGGTAGCAAATTCAAGGTCGGTGGTAATACTAAAAGGTAGAGGTACGCTGAAAGCTAACCTTAGGCCAAAATCCCCACTGAGAGCTCATTCTTGCTGTTGCTCCAAACCTATAAGATCATAGCCAACCCAGTCAAATTACAGAGGGCAGCAGTTAGGCAACGCAATAAAAGTTGCTAATTGCAGGTTCTAAGAACACACTCACAAAAATAAGGGTAGAACTGGAAAATTGGGGGGAGGGGTGGAATCTAACCTCAAGCTGAACCACCAGGTATAGCTGCGGCTGAAGAGCATTCTGAGCTGCTTACTATGGAGCCACGAAGAAGTAACCCAATCCCGAAATGCGAACAGGGGGTACCTGAGCATCAACCGTCTGGGCATTAACATACCCACGGTTCGGAAATTAAATTGGAGTGTAATTAATAAGGGGAAAATAGGATGATCAATATAATTACAGCAGGATTGGAGAGCATAAGAAATGTGTAAGCCCCATTTGAACTCTCACGCCTCCCCTATCCAATCATTAGCAGCCCTAACAAGCAAGTAAGGCATTTGGGGCGTGAAACGCGGCCACAAGATAGGTAATTTCAGAGTAAAGTGCATACAGCATTAACTCATCTAGCTAACAGAAGTCGAGACTAAGCAATTGAAACCTGGAAGAGGAAACGATGCGGCAGGCCTTTGTAAAGGGACTCGGCGAGAGACTGAAACTGAACGGGGGGAAACGGACTTACGTGGGGCGCTCGTAAAGGGGATAACAGTTCGGCAGCCATTAACACTCATAACACTCATAACAATTAACACTCAATAACAGCCCGGTAAGGAGTGGAACGTTTCAGACAGCGGAGGATTTCAATGGCGCCTCTTTCCACGGCGAAGCAACGTTTACTTGTCCGTCTAGAGGAATAATTGATTGCTAACGGTATTCCAGTAATTACACCAACACACAAGCATATATGGGGTGTACAAAGTGCAAAAACAGTTGTACACTCATTATACATTCCATCAATACCCAATGGCTCATCAATGAGGACTTTAAATGTAATGAAACGGGGTTATTTTAGTAAACATATCCAAATACATGCTTTGTTAAGTTGCACCTAAAGCTTTTAAGCTAATACATAATATTTACTATTCCCAAAATAACCCCACCCTTGCGGTTGAAATTTTTGCCCTTAACTCATTCTTATATAGTATAAGGATATATATTCGCACGCTAAGAACAAATTATTCGGAAAGTCATCAAACTTTTTAAAAAGTAAAATTTTGACCTTTCAACTTTTAAGAATATAAATTTATCCACTAAACTATCAGAAATATAAATTTTGACCCATTATGTCTGTTTTTAATGTTAAGCCTACCATATCTAAAGGAAATTTAGCAGACTTACCGGTGAAAATAAATGAAAATTTACATTTTTAATAGTTTAGTGAGTAAGTACATACTCCTAAAAGTTGAGTCGTCAAAACTTTACTACTTGAAAAATTTGATGACTATTCGGATAATTTGTTCTATTTTTTCTTAACCACTATGGAAATCTTAAATGATAATGAAAGTATTGAACTTTGATTTTGATAATTCTCTATTTATAGTATGGATTTCAAATTGATTAATTTTCTTTTAATAAAATGCAACTTATTCAACTTTGAAATCCAACATGTGAAGAGAAATAGCCAAACCCCATAATCATAATAAGGTTTATAGTTGCAATTTTGGTATCCAAAAATAATAATGTTGCAATGATGATGGGGTGTAATAAAAGAAGAAGTTGACATCCATTCATTTAAAAAATAATAATAATTTCCAGTGTCTTTACACGGAAGAAGTACTGGATCCTCACTCTACTTCTAGAATCCCATGAAAAGCGACGACACTAGTTTTTTTTTTTTTTTTTTAAATTTCAAAAACAAAAGACGTCGTTGTAACCCTTTGTTTAAATCTACACATTTTTTTTAAAAAATAAAAATAAAAATCAGGAAGTAGGAATCTTCATCGATTGATAGACACACAATGCAAATTTATTTATGAGTTGGCCGACTTTGGAGATCATGCCATCTCGTCCACCGCCACATCCCCAAAAAAAAACAAAAAAGATGGTGCCAATTAGCATCAGGCGAATTTCCCAGCAATCCGTTCCAAACAAGAGCACAACTCTAATGGCCTGGATAACATGACCATATGATCCGAATCATAAATCTCCTCCACTTCTTCGACTGGATTCTTCTCAATCATCCATCTCTGCAAGTCCTCCTTTATCACGTTGTCTTTATCGCTAATAATATAAACACGACGAACAGCTCCGTAATTTTCGTCCGTGAGTGCGATGACTTCTGACAAATTTGCATCGGCAAACAGTGCTATGGGCCTGACCAAAAAGGTTGCCAGCGCCAAATCCTGTCTCGTTTGGCCCCAAAAGCCGAAAACGAAAATGGAGGCCAGAGCAGAATTAGCATTAAATATGCGCAAATTAAGAGGATAATTTAAGAAAAAAAAAAAAAAAGAACTTCTGCCCTTCATAAAATATCAAGGAGAGACAATAATATTAATATTTGTTACTGTTTTCATCCATATCAAGACTCAAGAGCGGCGGTTGGATAATTCTTTTGAAGGACGGGCTGAGTCTGAGAGGATACTGAATGAAGCAGTAGGAAAAGTTGACAAAATATCTTCTGTTAATTGACAAAACACTACTAACCTCCGGAGGGGACAGTTGATACAATTTGGTAGACAAAAACTTGGGGCCAAAGAGGAGTGAGGTAGGAGGTTTGTCTTCTCCGTTCTCAAACCCATGTTGGATGTCCATGGTAGAATCCAATCTTCTATTATACTGCATGCGAACGTAATTGCGATGTCGACTATCAATTGCAGAAAAGCAAACAAGCTGTAACCAGTTCCTGGAAGGAAGGAGTTTATTTTATTGGTGGTAAAGAGGAGTCAGTACCTCTTCAGCCATGGTGCGAATGGGGAGATGAGGAGCAGGAGTGAATGCAGTGAGGAAAACAGCAACAGCAATCTTTTGGGGGAACTTTTCAATGGCGAGAGATATGATCACTCCTCCCATGCTGTGACCGACCAGGATCACTCTATCATCTGCTGGTAAATCCGCCATGAATGCCATCAGTGGCTCAGCATAATCTGAGAAGGAATTGAGCTCTTCCAGTCGTTTGGGATTGACCCCAGAGGCTGCCATGTCAAGGGCAGTGACTTTGTAACCGTTGGATCTCAACAGCGTCACCAGCTTGTACCAGCACCATGCCCCGTGACAAGCGCCATGAATGAGCACGAAATGTGCTCTCTCTTTCTCACTCATTTTCTTGCTTTTAGCGAAATTCTATGCTTTCTTGGTGCTGATGAAAGTGATCTTTATAGCCAAGCGGGGCTCTGAGGAAAGCCCTTCACCATCTGCAAGCGACGTTCTCGTAGAATTCTTGCGATGAGAACTAAATTGCTGATGTCACAATTGTCTTCAAACTTCTCTGTAGAGCATCTTACTCTCGGTCTCAGGGATCCGATTACATCCAAACACGCAAGTCAAAAATTCTACTACTTGGACTTTGATGATTAGACGTACATGCATTGCACGCAAGGGGGCGGCCGACTCGATGCTCGATAGTCAATATACCACCGCTAAGGTTACCATCATCAACATGCATCTCCAATCACACTGTGCCAGTGCTTCACCGTCAATGTACAGAAAAGGACGAACGAAAATGCCAACAAACTAATTTTACTGGAGAAGGCCAGAACAGTAATTTGAGGCATTTTTGTTGTCATCGACTTCAGAAAAACATTTGTCGATGAGGAAACCAGAAAGAATGGGTGGCACTGATGATCCGATTTGAACTTACAAAGAAGACGGCACTTTTGTCAATGATTTTTCCGGTAATTAAAGAAAACGGAAAAGACATGAACAACACAACCCGACCTATGTTTGTCAAATATCTCTTCCAGCAAAAGAAAGTCAAGACAGTTTCTGTTTTCACTAATTTCCATCTCAATTCTAATGTAACAACGCTCAAACATTTTCGTTTTGAACTTAAATTCGCTTTCGTAGGTTTATTTCCACTATAAATATTTTTTACCAGGTTGGATTCGTGATTTTACACTCTGAATTTAAGAAAGACTAACCAACTATTAATTATATCACAAGTAATAACAAAAGCTGCAAGTAAACTTACTGAACCATGAAAAACCAACATTTGAGACATACTCGTATATTTGATCAACGGCAACTACTATGTCTCACATAAATCATTTCTTTGAAGCAGACAAATCATCAAATAATTTACGTTGCTTTCAACTGGAGTGTGTGGCATTGCACAGTTCATGAATGAAAAGAAAGAGGTGGTAGCAAGATTTTTAAAATACACCATGAACGCTAATTCCCTTTCTATAGCTAGAATATTCTAGAGTACAAAAGGTTTAACTGGATGGATGATCAGAAGTAGGAATCACCGTCATCTCACCCATCTGGCGGATTCTTCGAAACAATCCATCTCGGCATCTGATACATAATGTAAAACGTGCCAAACCAAACATAATTTTCATTAGAGTTCATTTTCCTCGGAAAGATCGCTTCAAGTTTCACTAAAAGGCATGCAATAGCAGATCTGGTCTTAATGTGGAAAGATACAGGCAAGAACAATTACAAACTGTCTTCCAGCTATGCATCTGACCTTCTTCGAAGTCGGAGCAGTTTTGGAGAACCAGTTCACTTATAAGTTGCAGGTTCCTGAGCTCCAAACCATGGAACAAGTCTTGACTAATACGTGGGAGTAGACCAACCTCAGGCTTGATTGCAAAAAATAAGATGAAGGCACCTTGGTGAGGACCTTGTACTTGAGCAAAACAGTTCATAGAAATGGCTGAGCAACTTGGCAAAAGTTCGACGATGAATTACACTGCAACTATGCATAACCTTAATGGGTGAGGCCAGTCTTCAATGGTTTGCACATTGCAGGGCTACAGGATTCTTGAGCAGCAATTTCTTTTCTTTTACTCAATTTTCCATCATAAATGCAGCCACTATGTGCCAGACTGCAAATCACAGTTCCACGCCTCAACCAAAATATAAAGACAAAATTGGACCTCTCAAACACCAAAAAGCTTTGAAGGAAAGGAAATTAGAGAATAATCACTAACTCTTGATAGATGGAGCAAACGCAGACATTAAGACCAGGCATGGAGGCACCGAACAGAGCAGCAATTTCCGTTTTTCCATCAAGAAAAATTGCTTTGTTTCTTAGGAATAAACCTGCTTTCCTCTCCTTTATAATCACTGCAGTTAGAAGAAAGTCACAGAATTACAGTAATCTTGGACCAACTAACTAGAATCTTCAGTCTTCAGAGGATTTTATCATATGACATGGCAAAAGCAGCTAATACAGGTCAGAATGTTGGGCATCAATATGACAACCAGCTTCATTACTTGATCAGTATCCCTCATCTTAAAATTCTTACTCCTATGTATTCAAGCAAGACCATGACTAAAAAGAACATGAATTTGGAACCTGATAATACGATCAGATTGTTTCTTCCTTCTCTGGCAATAAAAGTCAGTTTAATTGGTTATGCCAAAAAATAGCAATCTCTCCGTTACTTTGATCTAAGCCACAATAAAGGAGCACAGCAGGAACAGTCTTAGCGCTTCAAATTAAAAAGGAGTAGGTGCTTGGATATCCTGAAGGCTGAGCTCCTCAAATCTTGACAAACTGCAATAAGAAAAAGGTCATCATGATTTAATGTTCAGTATCCCCATTAAAACTGGTAATATGTAGAAAGAACCAGCGTCTGTTTCATTAATCAAAGAAGTAAAAGACAAAGGTGCATCACAATTGTAGCATAAGCAACAAAGGTGCATCATAATTGTAGCATAAGCATTCATGGTCACAGCCTTCAATTTCAACCCAAAACAGTAGACGCGTTCACATGAGTATCTTATACCTTCATTATTAATGGTACCATGACAAACGTTATAAAGGTTCTCAAAATAAATTTTTTAAACAAAGCAAAAAACATAGTACCTAAAACAGTTGTAAGCATAGATAAAATGTGATATTAGTGAAAACTTTCACTCAATGAAGGCACAGCTCAATGAGAAAACACCCAAGAAAAGACAAGGGCAATATGAGTGCAGATTGCTTCTAACAATTCTCCAACCACATCATTAACTAGAGGAGACATCATGAAGAAACAATATCAAAACAAAAACATCACCACACTAAAGTATCATATGCAAGAAAAACCACTGTCTGCCCATCTAAAAACAGGAAAAAAGTGCGATAATCTATACTCCAAATAGAGAACTAGGAGAACTATGACCAGCCTGAGAAAAACAAAATAAAAGCAAAATCACTTTTACCCTACGAAACAACAAAGTAAGAAATAAAAAGATTGCAATAATCAATGCTTTTATGAACATCCAGTCAAGAAGACCAAGAAAGGGATTGCAAGCAAAAATTTACAGACCGTCGCAAAAGAACTTGTGGATTATATGGAAATAGATTTTTCTGGTAAAGGCTGTCAATAGATGCTTTCAGGCAAAGCAGACAGCCCTTGGCATCCTCAACCAAGACGGTCTTAGTTCTTCCGTGCTTGCCACTATGTTTACCCTCTGTATCCATAGGTGAGGGAACTGAATCATCCTCCAAGGATGCATGGCACCGATTACCTTCAAAATCTATACCATCTGCTAAAACTCTTCTTCTCTTTCGACAAGATGAATTTGGAGGTTTCACCCATGTTGAAAACTCCGCAAATAGGTTCCATGAATTACACACCATTCGCAGGCACCTATGGCAACCATATACAAAAGAATTTGGCAACTGAGAGTGTAGGCTAAAAACTATCCATTTCCACACACTTTCAGAGAACTTTAAGTCAGTGAAACGCAAAAAGAAGAAAAATAAAATATGAAGCTGGAAATATGTGCACCTCAGAAGATATTCTGCGCATTTGGCTCCAGTATCCTTCGAAATCAGGTAGTCAAGAAGCACTTCATGATCATAAAATATCTGCAAGCAAGATAGAAAATCAAACAGACAAGCACTACAAGTACAAATACATTTTTGTGATTTGCATACATGAGATCCGCTTACCTCTGCAAGAAATAAATGAAAAAAGTTTATGGGGTGAAATAGATCTGATGCAAGGCAAAATATGTCATTCTTTGCTGTCAACAAAGAACCACCTCTATTAAACCTATAAGCAACCACAGAAAGGCAACTTACAAAACCAATTTTTATATCTGGAAATTGAAATGTGAAATATGTACAATTTTTACCATTTCTCCGGCAAGTGAAACAGTTGCAAGAGCATTTCGAATAGGATGTCGTCCTAGGATGCAAGTGGGGGAAATAATTAAGAACATATAAAAACAAATCAGATAAAAGGGCAAGAAAGTATAAATATGAAACTCTTATCAGCATCACATAAAAATTCTGTAACAAACCAGCAGAGTTCTGCATCAAAAACATACCATCCCCTTGGTGAATGCAGAACCTTCAGGAAAACTAATGACATCAAATGAATATTCAGTAAATGCTATTGATTTGATATAATCTCTGGTAATGGCTAAATATTTCGCAATGCTCAAGACTTGTGCATGCCTTTCTGATTAATTCAGAAGTCTAAAAGACTTCAGCAGATAATCTCCAAATAAAACACAGGAACAGGTTTCAATCTCTTTCAATGCCATAAAAGCTACAAGATGTCATAGACACAACTCTATCAACAATGAGGATGAAACCTAAGGAACCACTCTAAGAGGTGATTTATACCTAAGGCAAAAATAGGACATTGAAGCACATAGTGGATTTGACCTAAACTTTATGGTGACAACCTATTCAACACACCAACCTAGCATGAGAAACAGAACCTCCCAAAATAAGAAAAATTACAAGTGAACTTTTTAAGCTTGTTTATAATCAAGCCAAGAAATGTAAACCAGTGGATGTACAGATTTGTAAGTTAGAGAACTATTGAAACAAGAAATGAAAATTTTAAGTAGATGAAACTTAAAAACTAGCTTCCGAAAGGTTATAGAGTGTAACCTCATGCATGTATAACTTTAGAAAGGCTAACGCAAAGCTCGAGCATCTTTGTGAATACATTTCATGGTCCACAAAAGTATCAGAAGGAAGGTGCCTCTGAAGCCACTGTTCGAGCATCAGCGGACCTTCACTTCTACTGGAATAGTTTGAATTCGAATAAAGGTCAAATGTGAAGCAAGAGTCTGAATTTGCAACTTTGAATTGCTTGTCAGCTTTCTCGTTCAACCTCACCAAAATGAAGGAACACCTAAGAAAAAGAAAAACAGCTAGTCTTTGCAAATGGCTAGATGACATTTTCTGTCCTTCTGCATCATAATCATCAGACCAGAATGGGGAACCTTCTAGACAGTCGTTTAGATTAGACTCTTGCATATCCAAAGGTTGACAAAGTAGATCATGAAAGTATTTCTCAATAAGATGCAACCATGTCATAAGATCTGAACGCTCCAGGTGAAGTATGGAAGTAAGCCTCATCATCAGCATCTGTATAAATAACAACATATCATCAAAACAATATGTATGAACACATTTTAAGGCATGTACACCTCTGACTACTGCACAAACCCAGAAAAATAGGATCACCATCATCATCTCATTCTCCTATCAACTTTGTGATTAGCAGCAAAACTAGTTCACGAGTAAGTATATTTTGCATGAAAACACCAGGCAATAAAAAAGCAGCAATAAAATCAATATAGTTAATTATGTGTAATAAGACGAAGCACTACGATTGCCTTTTGTCAATTTATCAAGATCAACGAGGGGATAGAGGGCACATGATTGATGCAAGTACAATCTTCACCACCTAACTAGTTTAAATTTCCTATATAGCAAGTGTAAATCTTTAGTACGAGAAGTATAACTACTCTGTTTGTTTGCAACAAGCCTACTAATTTACATCTATCAAATACCAATTTTTGCACCCAACAGAACAAGTAGCAACACTTCTGAACAATGTGACTTACCAAATATTCCATATAAAACAGCAAGAAAAGAAATACTTTTATGGCATGCAAGCAAAGTGCAAGAGTATCAAACTCATTGGACACAAACAACTTCGTCCAAAATAAACTAAGAACAAAGGATCAAACAACAGTTGTAGGCAGAATTGACAATAAACTTATTTCTGGCACAAAAGTTTTCTGCAGTCTTAACCTTACTTTTTCAGCAGTTTAAAACCAATTCGAAAAAAAAGGGCACACAGAAGACCAATGCAGTTTGAATTCTCCTGATAGATAAAAAACCTTCACAACTTCCTCATTTATACTCAACTAAATGGTCTCTACAAACCATGAAGTAGAATAAGTTGATAAGAGTAAGCTAGTACCAAGATCTTGTGTCTCAAGTAATGAAAGATACGGACGTCATCCAGATGTTCTCGTCCGACAAAGCAGCCAACTAAAATTTTAGGGATTAGGTTTCTGATCTGAAATACAATGGGATGCATGTTGGAACCAGCTCCAGCTTCAGAGAGGCCGCTTATGTCAACCAAGGAACAGAACAGTTGAACAACATTCCCATGATAGATACCTACTGACTTCAGATGGGTAGCATTTTTACATAACAAATCATGTCCAGCAGGGCCTGCTGGAGGCTCACCGTTTGACACAACATACGCCTCATTCAGTGAATCCCAAGGCAATTTTGAAAATAAATCAGTAATTGAATCGAGGTAACCTATCAAAAGTTTATCATCCATATTCAGCTTCAAAATCTTTAGAACATTACGAAACACTCGAATAATAGAAGCAACAGTCAAATAGCTTCCATCTCCCATCCTCAGCTTCATCAGCGAACCAGGAATAAATGAACCTATACCAAAATCTTTGGCTCTGGAAAGTTCATGACCCCCTGAAGCTAACATAGTGTTGTGAATGGCAAATTTCAGCCAACCACACAATAAGTGCATGTATTCAGCCCAACCTGATTCCTGCAGTACAAATATTAATGAGAAGATATAAATGTAAAATAAATAGCAAAAAGAATGGAGCTTAATTCTGCCATTACGTACAGTTGCAGCAGCAAACTCAGCAATAGCCACAAGGGTGTTGCCTGTCAAGTGCAGAATAAGTGGATTCTCAAGACTAAGTAAAGACATCTGTAGCAAAGGAACAAGGAAAAAGAATATAAGCTCTGCCCACTCAACAAGGCAACAGAACAGTTTACAATTTGAATTAAGCCCACAAAAAGGCACCAAAAAAAAGAATTCTAACTGGCATCCAATCAATAACCATTTCCTAATCTTAGCGTGAAATCAAGTACTATATTATGCCTTCATGTAACAAAGAAAATGCTGAAAGCTTCACTGCGCAGAGCATGAAACTAAGTTCTGAAACATTGCATTTCGAGTAGCACTGGACTCTAACGAACATTAAATTTTTACGTAATATACTCGCTCCACCACACTGACAGAGGAGAAACTTGGAAGCTCATAGCATGATAAAATGGCAGAAACACTTACCAAGTGACCAACGATCTTAGCCATACACCGATGGTCATCAGCATGTGAATCAGAACAAACAGCAGCGCCGCCGCCATCTGCAGGTTGCTCAGCCGTTCCCTAATAAATTTCAGGATATGCAATACCAGCCGAATTTAAGACCATAACGAGGTTCCTCTTTCTTAAAAATCCAAAACATAATAATAATAATAATAATAAATAACAACAGAGAGGAGGAGTAAATAAAAGGGAAGAGACTCTGACATCGTCGGAAGCGGAGTCAAATTCAAGCGTCCACAGTTTAATTTGTCTATAAACCTGCAAAGCAAGAATTAGCTTTGAATTTAAGGTCAGAGAGAAAAAAGAGTGTATATGCAAAAATGTATACACAGAGAAAGAAGCCGCGATACCTGGGAGAGTGAAATCAAGAGCTGTTTTACGACTTCAGGAGTTGAAGAAACAGAGACAATTTCCTGTACAATCAAGCGTCTGATTATTCAATTCTTGTAAAATTTCCTCGCCCCCCCCCCCAAAAAAAACCCCCACCATGTAAATGGAAATTTTGAGGAAGCAAAAAGGCGATGCGGGTTGATCTTACGCCGAAGGGACGAAGAGAGTGGTCGATGAGACGGCAAAGGCGCGACTGAGCCGACTCGTGATTCATATTATCCGTCCAAGCGAAACTAATTGGAATTTGGGCAGCTCCTTTTCTTAATTTTTCCCCCCCAAAAAGTGGAGGGAAATCTGCAAGTAGTAGTACCTATCTTGTAATAGTACCACGACTTTCTCTTTCTTATTTGTATTTATCGATCTTTTTTTTTTCCCAATTCATCACTTAATAATAGTACCGTGATTTGTTTCACAGTGTATATCTATTTGTTTGGATAACATCAATACCAACGACATTTTACAGATCTTCCATCAAATTTGTGATAGTTAATCCCCCGGCCCCATCCATTACTCACTACTATCAATCAAAAAGGTGCAAAACACACTCTGCTAATCTGAAAGGTTTAACAAAAATTGTTATATTTTTCGTGAAAAAATTTTTTAATCACTTTTTATTTTACATATATCTAATCGTTATAGTAATTTTTTATAAAAAATTCAGAAAAAATGGAATTCAAACAAAACTAATTTTTATATTTTTGGGTGAAACCCTTGGGATTTATTTCTCGCGTTTGTTTTGCACTCCAAGAAGAGGATGGCGCAGGTTTATTGCTCACAGCACGAGATACTAATAGTCAGCAGAGTCCCTGTACTCCATTACCTTTAGCAGTCAAACTTGTTTACAAATTTCCCCTTTGGCCTTGTTCTGCGTGCCCGCGGCCTGTAATTTGCATTCAGGTGTTTGTCGCAATTCGCAAATTAGGAAAAGGAATAGGAAAAGCAAGTTACATTTACATACAAGTAGATGTGTATCTCAACGTAAGAGCATTCTGTTCTGAAACTAGAGGCCCCATTTCAAGGAGTTTGCTTTTGCCGGTTTGCTCAACCGTCGGTCTTCTTAACTCTTTGGTTATGAATGAGATCGCCGAATGAAGCCGCCTCCATAGCAACTCTGCTCATCCAGAAATGCAGCTCCACAACCTCCATCAGGAGAGCGCGTCAACTCCACGCCCTCCTTCTAACCTCTGCCACTGCCCATCTCAGATGTTCATACGCTTTCAACAATATCGTGTCGATGTACGCCCGGTGTGGGTCCTTGGCTGACTCCCAACTTGTATTCGACAATATTCCTCACCGAAATATTGTCTCTTACAATGCCCTTGTTTCTTCCTATTCTCGCACCACCAGACATGCTTCTCTGGCCTTTCGGTTATTTGACCAGTTGCTCAATGAGAACCTCAGACCAAATGGGTCGACTTTTACGAGCCTCTTGCAGGCCTCCTCTACCCTAAAGAATGTGATGCTGGGTTCTTTTCTTCATGCCCAGTGTATTAAATTTGGATTTATGGACAATGTACGGGTTCAAACCTCTCTACTAGGGTTGTATTCAAGCTGTGGCGTCTTGGAATTGACGCAGAAAGTTTTCCATTTTATGGTTGACAAAGATGCCATGGCTTGGAATACTGTTATTTTCGGGTATTTGGAAAATGGTAAGATGGTGGAAGGACTTGAGATTTTCAGCACCATGATACGGGATGGTGCACGGCCTGACCAATTTACTCATTCAATGGTTCTGAATGCTTGTGGTAGACTGGGAGACTATGATACGGGGAAACGTGCTCATGCGCATTCTCTCATCCTTGGGACCTGCTTGGATTTGCCTTTGCATAATGCGCTGCTCGACATGTACTGCAGCTGTGGCGACACTGAAACAGCAATTAGGGTCTTTAGGAGAATCAGTAATCCAGACTTGGTTTCATGGAATACGATCATAGCTGGGTATTCTGAGAATGGAGATGGAGCAAAGGCAATGGATATGTTTGTCCAGCTGGTGCACGGATTCACAAGAAAACCAGATGAATATACTTATGCAGCAGTTATATCTGCCACAGGAGCTTTTCCTGCATGTAACTATGGTAAACCGCTCCATGCCCAAGTCCAGAAAGCAGGACTGGAAAGAAGTGTGTATGTTGGGAGCACATTGATATCTATGTACTTCAGCAATGCTGAATCTGAATCTGCTCAAAAAATTTTCTCCTCAGTTCTAGAAAAGGATGTCGTGCTTTGGACTGACATGGTGGCTGGTTATTCTAGAATAGGCGATGGTGAGACTGCTGTGAAGTTTTTCCACGGGATGTCACAGGAAGGACACGAGATTGATAGTTATGCCCTGAGCAGTGGAGTAAGTGCATGTGCTGACCTTGCAACTCTGAGGCAAGGGCAAATGGTTCATAACCTTGTTGTGAAAAAGGGCTATGATACTGAAATGACCGTTTGCGGAAGTCTGATAGATATGTATGCTAAAGTTGGCGACGTTCAAGCAGCTGAGGCGATATTTTCAGAAGTGATAATGCCCGATCTGAAGTGCTGGAACTCGTTACTTGGGGGGTTCAGTCATCATGGGAAGGCAGAAGATGCATTCCAAGTGTTTGATTGCATTCTAAAACAAGGCATAAAACCGGACAATGTGACATTCATATCAGTCCTTTCTGCTTGTAGCCACTGTGGTTTAGTCGAGAGGGGCAAATTTTACTGGAATTATATGAAGGTCAAGGGCATAAAACCAGGGCCGAAGCACTACTCCTGCATGATAACTTTGTTTAGTAGAGCAGGATTACTTGAGGAAGCTGAAAAACTGATTATTGAATCACCTTTTGCTAATGATTATATGGTGTTGTGGAGAACTCTTCTTGATTCCTGTGTCATGAATAAAAATCTCAAAATAGGAACGCATGCTGCTGAGCGTGTTTTGAGTATGGATGCAGAAGACGCAGCAACAAACGTATTGCTTGCAAAATTATATGCTGCAGATGGAAGATGGGGTGGTGTGGCAGAAATGAGGAGAAAGATCAAAATACAAATGTTAGAAAAAGACCCCGGCCTTAGTTGGACAGAAAATTTGAATGATATCCATGTCTTCTCATCTGGTGATCAGTCACACCCCCTAAATGATGAAATGCGGGTTGAAATACAGAGATTGCTTAAACACTCAATGTACACGGAAAAAAGTGAAATTTGAAATAATTGAGCCTTCAGAATGCATATTGATCAGTCAAGAAATTTCTGAACCGCTGTATATGGATATAGAACACCTTAACTATACGACAAGTCACAAAGTCAAAAAAATATCTATAATAGGTTTTATTTATACAACATTACAATCTGACCAATCTCAATCTACGCTCTTGCCACCACAAGAACAAGAATCACTAAGAACCCGAATGCAAATATCCCGCACCATTTGGATTCTGATTTCATCGGGGAACACCGTAAGCAAGAAAAAACATTGACAATTTGTTTTTCCCCGTCTTGTGAAAAGCAGGGCGCCCGAGACTCAGAGCGTGCAACTGGAATAGAGGTTGACTAGCGTCGGCCGGTTCGACTTTTTGCTCTTGTCCTCTGCAAGGATGAATGTAGAAGGTATGAACATAATCTAGAAGTCTAGTTAAGATTGCCTATATTTAAGTAGAAAGATGGTTCTAACTCTGAGAAGGCAAGAACTTACGGATGCAGTGTTAAAGCTTTGCCCTGATCCTGTTAGACCTCCTATGACAACAGAAAAAGCAGTCTAAGAAAGCAAGCGGCTAAAATGTGCATAAAAAGTAGCTCTTAGAAAGGAATAAGTTGAAGGGTAAGTGGATAACATCCGGGACTGGAAATCAAATGATAACTGTACATGTCTTCCTCAATTTTCTTTCCAGCTTTGATAATTCAGACCAAATATTTACCTATTAATGTTGTTCTTTTCATTGTCTAGACCTGATAGCCAACATCTATCATACATCTTAGCATTACAATTCTATATGTAGTCATGAACTAACCTCCACTCAGAAATTTCATATTTCAAAAAACGTAAACTTTCTATGTAAAAATCTGGGCAAATCAATACTATACTCTAGTAGAAAATAGAAGGAAGAAATACCAGAATTCCAATCTTAAGGAAACCTAGAAAAAGTTACCTGAAGGAAATGGTGTTGTAAATGCTGAAACACTAGAAGAAGGTGTCGAACCAAATAATGAAGCAGCACCACTAACAACTGGAGTGGAAGCCGAAAGGGATCCAAAAGGTGATGACTCGGGGGAAGCACCAGATGATCCAAACAAAGATACTGGAACTGAAGTCATCGGAGTAGAGAATAGAGAAGAAGACGAAGTTGCGCCAGATGGAGTACCTAAGAGAGAAAGACCACTTCCAGATGAAGCTGATGAAATAGCAGCAGATGTAGGTAGTGCAGTTAATGCCCCAGGCATTGTTGAGCTTGAAAATGCTCCAGCAACTTGAGTAGATGGCTGCGAGACCGCAGGCAAATGCAGAGTTGGATGTACCCTTCGCGCAGCAGCTTCTAGCTTAGCTGTTTCCCGCCGATCAGCTTCAAGAAATGGATCGTTCCCATCCCCGCGACGGCGCTGGTCAGCAAGATACGCAGTCTTCATGGATTCAATGTACTGATGAATGCTCTCCGCCTGCAGGATATAGGATCCAACATGCCTCATCAAGCAATATTATATAGGCAACAGATCAGCAAAGGAAATAATAGTCTATATACAACTTGACAACAAGAACAATCAACTTAACTGTTGGAGATACAAGGAATCAATTCACCTTTTTCCCTTTTTCTCAGAATGGCAATTGGGAAAAATAAAATCCCATTTCTGAACAGACTAAAGAATCACAAACTTATAAAGTGGCAGCAGACGGAATTCAAGATGGACCCATTTAATCAACACGTTGTGCAATTAGCCAACATGTACAGAAACTAAATTCATATGATTTCATGCAAACCTCAGCTTCCCTTTTTCGCTTTTTAGATATCCCAAACCGTTTTTGAGGTCACCTATGTGATTAATCTGATCCAATTCCAGATCTTGGATATCTAGCAACGTCTATAGGAGGCAGGAGAACATGGGTGATCATAATAACAATCTGTATAGCTCAAATCTCAGCAAAGATCTCTTTATAGGCTGCCATAACCTTCTTTTTTTCTTTTTTTACTTCTCACTTGGCATTTCAATAATATATAGTATCTGAACAGAACTCCATATAATCTACATAGATACCAGACACCCAGAAATAAAGCAAAATCACCACACTTCTGAGGGCAGAGTCAACTGCTTTACAGATCTGTAATCCATTTTGTATTCCATATAAAGTAAATTCTTGGGAATCTTCGACAATGTCCTATGTACACAAAGTGCTGGTTTTAAGCTGGCAGTCAATTAAACTAACTTCATCATAACTGCATGTATAGCCTGTTCACAGACTAGCGAATGCTAATGCTAAAAGATTAAAAATTACTTTTCCTGATATTGTAGTCAAATTTAGGGCTTTGTAAATGACTACATGCAATCAAATGGGTCTGGAATTAGGTGAGATGATGGTGGTAATACACGTGACTAAATGGGTACAATAGTCGGCAGGGAGCATACTGCAGTCGGAGAATTAATAGTGGTTCAATGGGCTATCATGTTATCAAAGTAGAAGTTACAAATGCAGAGTCTGGGAGGAGTGGATCAGGAGGTGAAAGAACTCTATAGCTCTGACATTCTTAATGCAGTGCTGTACTGTGGGATGCTTTTAATGCAATGCCATACTGTGGGATGCTCCACCTTGGTACTTACAGAGTTCTGACATTTGTGGCAAAGCTAATCATAGTAGCAAGATGCCAATAAGAAAGAACAAAGTCTGTGACTGATCGAATGAGATGATGGAACATGAAATACGAGTTATACAAAGAGAAAAGTGAAGAAAACCACTTTCAGTAACTTGAACCTTGGAGTCGTGCAATGTGTCAGAGAACATATTAAAGCTCCCACAGGGTAGAACAGTTACAATTTATTGGGGCCCTGTGCTCTGAAGTTCTTTATCAAGGAGTTTTGTGCGAATCAAACATTCATGAAGCAAGAACCTACCTGCTTATGCCTCTTTTATGGTAGGAAAGGAATAATTTAAGATCCAACTGCGTATTCACAAAAATCAGCAAAATTTTATTGCATTTTCAGAGCTTGAGGTGTTACTAAGTCTATGCATCATAATAGATAAAGTTACTTAGTGTTTAATTTGCAATCATTTACCTTTGCTGCTACATGAACAAAAAAGGCATGCACATTTGCCATGACTTTAGGAAGAGATTGCAACAAAGACGAACTAGAATCTAAGGAGTTCCGATCAGCATCTAAGAGAAGCAACTGCTCCAACTCTTCAATCCACTGACGACACTCAGCTATATACTTCTCAAATCTCGCAACAGTCTGCTGCAAAAAAGGTGATGGCTTTCTAGGTAGCCCACTATAGAAATCAAAAACAGGCACTGCAGAAGTAGCAGCTGCTTGATTAGATGAAGCTTGAGCAACTGCTGTAGCCTGGGATGGTGCAGTAGCACTGGTTGCAGCACCCACATTTGAGTGAAGAAACCGTGGGCGTAACATCATAAAAGAACGTACAGCAACTTCAGTATTGTGTAGCATATCTTTGGCTACTGACATTAGTTCTTGACAGATAGCCCTCTCGCGTTCCATTGCTGTACAGATTCCACCAAGCTCCTGAAATAGCAACCTACTGTATGTTACATTTAATGCACTTAATTAAGAGTAAGAGAAGCAACAGAGTATATAGGAAATTGGAAATTGATCACATAGTAGCATTTTATACAGATTCTGCAGTGGTGAGTGAAAATCAAATAATACCAGCATAGAAACCAAAACCAAAAGGCAATTTGATTCCAATAATCAAGGGTACAATGATGGTAGAGGCTATCTTTTCCATTGGTTTTTGGACTGTCGGGGATGGTAACAAGTCATGAAGCACGAGTCAGTACCATGTTAAGTTGACCAAACTATCATCAAATGAGCCAACCGTTCAGAATCCACAGATGCCAAAATTTAAGAAAAGCTTAATCTGTTTGTCTGAGAATAAATATTGTGAAACACTAAATGTTTTTCTAGACATTGCATCACTTTTTTCGTATTGCTCAAGTAAGTTAGAGTACACTCAAGTTACAATGACGGTGAAACCAATAAAGTCCAAACTCAGTCTTGAATTACTTACATTTTTTTTAAAGACAATCAAGAGCATCAACCCGGATGTTCAACTTAGAATTTTAAATCCACTTGAAGAATGAAATAAAGAAATTGACCTGAAAAATTCGACTAGCATCGAGCTCAAATCCACCAATGAAGACCGATGAATCGTACAGGCGGCTACACTGGTCCAGCCGCTGGCTTTCGTCTCTATACTCCAATATTCTCTCCCTAAAACCATTCACAAACAGAAACATGAACAAACACCGTAAAGACACAAACTTGCCAGCGTCTGTGCACAACTAAAAACTCTACATACTCAATTTGGAGGAGGAATTTCTGAGAATCTGGATGGAGGTCAGCCCATTTGGTGCTATAAGTAGCCGGAGTCTTGTCGTTAGTAAATAGAAACAGCTGTTGCTGCTGCTGCGGCTGCGGTTGCTGCTGCAGCTGGGGCTGCGGTTGCGGTTGAGGTTGAAATTGGAAAGGAGACGACTGCGGTTGCGGTTGCGGTTGTGGTTGCAGTTGGGGCTGCTGTTGGGGAGTTTGAGAGAATAGTGAGAATGTGGAGGCTGGCAGCTGCTGAGTTTGGAACAATGGAGACGGTTGTTGCTGCTGCTGCTGCTGTGGAGTAAAAGAGAAAGACATTGCCGGCCGGCCTTTATCTTTCCGTTGTTGCTGAGAATTCTTTGAGAAATTTAGGGCGCATGTGGAGATTAGAGTTAAATTGGGCAAGAAAACAGAATTGCCGGAACCTCGAAAAACCCTAAATTTAAAACCCTAGGCTGCAAAAAGGCGCCATATTCTCATTTGGATGACTGTGGGTAGTACTGTAGTAGCAGAGGCCAGTGTAGTTGTTACTACTCGTTAGTAAATATGGCACCGGAGTGAGTGAGATTTAAGACCCTTGGTCACGCCAAGAAGTCAGCAATTGTCGCAATTGTCTTTTGGGTGGGACTGAGAATTAGGTTAAGTCAGCACGGGTAGGGTAATAGTCAATGCTGAGGGTAAAACCAAGAGTGCAAGTGTTTCCCTTCCCTCTTTCTTCCACATCGATTCAGTGAGGATTGAGTGAGTGAGATTTAAGTCCCTTGATCGCACCCAGAAGTCAGCAAGTGCCTTTTGGGTGAGATTGAAAATTAGGTTTAGATTTCTTCCGCCTTGTGTTTGCTGGAAAGTAAATATAGCACTAGACAGCGAGTGGAGTAGTTTCCACTCTCAAAACGACTTCGTCTCCGCAGGCAGTAACCGCGACCGAAACGACAGCGGACAGGGTTGGCTGTCCTTCTTCCCTCTTTCTTTTTTTCTCCTTTTGCTTTTTTTTTTTTTTTTTTTTGCAACTAACAAAAATACCAATTCTACTGGCATTGGAAAAATTGAAAACCCCTGAAAATTATATATATAAATTTTTTTTTATATGGGCTGTCTATGGTGTTTATCCATGATAATTTTTTACACACTCCTACCAAGAAAATATTATTGTAAAGACTACTTAAAATACAAGAGGTATTCGATTGGTAAAAATTAAGGGCACGAGTCTCAATTATCAGCTATCATCCAGCAGTATATTTTATCCATTCCTCCCTCGAATGTGAATGAATTTCTCCTCTGAATTATAGGACAGTTGTCCACCAATTAATGCTTCGTTTGCAATTTTGAGTAAATGCTTGCTTTAAGCTGCCTAGTTAACTTTACAGAGTAGATTTTCCTCATTCAACCAAAGTTGGTTATATGCTCAGTGAGAACATCTCCGAAAGGACGCCAAAATAAGCGTAGCACGTAGACTAGCAGAGCAGCCAATGAATGGATAAACTCAGATCGCCGCCCCGCCCGCCTGGATTGACTGACTTTTAGTTTTAGGAAGCTTGCCTCTTTTAATTAAGACAGGCTCCCATAATGTAATAAGCGCTAGTAGTTTAATACTACTGCTTCCCTGTCTGTGATAGACATATATGATATACTGCATCTCTCAAAAAACCAACAAAAAGGGGGAATTAGGAAATCACTCTGCTGTCTTTCTCACATTTTAGTAGTTTGCCATGCCTATCGTACCAACGAAGAAAATCACATTTTGCAAAGATATCGGAATTGTGGAAGATTAACACTACTGTCTAAGCCATTTTACAAAGAACAATTGCGGAAACTTAACTTCAGAAAGTTTAGCAGAAGAACTTCCTTAAATCAGTCAGCCAAGCTCCGACAATTACATGATTTTTTTTTTCCGTCTTTTTGTAGAGTCCTAAAAACTGATACTAATCTGAACTTGCAAGATCAAATGTCCACCCATGCTGTGCTTTTCGACCATATTCATTTTCTAATCTCTTCATCTAATGAACGAGCTTCCAAAAGGCTTCATCGCCAAAATATGACTGTTACCATAATCGCCGACCGAGCAGCAAGAAGGAAAATCCCAAGCGCGCACAGAGAACTCAGAACACATCTCGTTTCATGCCATGGCCTGCCGTGGAAATAGCCACATCAGACAAAGTAAAACAGTCCCCACCGACAATCCCAGCCTCTCCACTCTGAAGTTGCCACGTGTTCCCTAGCACACTTGGTCCGCCAACGCCAGTAGGGCCACCCTCTCCCACCCCGAGTCCGGGGAAGGGCCATACGGCCCTCGCAAGCCCAAAGCCCATGTCCTCAACCCCGGCTCCCAGCCCAACCCCAAACCCGCCGAGCGCGAAGAACCCAGGCCCTTGGGTGTTCAACAGCGAAGTAAAACTTCCGCACGCGTTCACCCCGCTCTTAGCATCGCTGATCAACGGTACGGCACCGCCATGATCAACGCCGAGCGGAGTCAGGAGCTGTGACGTGGTGGCCTGCGTGTGGCGGTGCTCGTAGGTGGAAGTGCTGGAGGAGAAAGAGAAAGCGGAGGAGGCAGCAGCGGAGGCAACGGTGCGCGAACGTTTAGCATTCTTGCGGCTGCCACCGCCAACTGGGATGTCACGGAGGGTGCCACCGTGGGTCCAGTAGCGGCGGCAGGACTTGCAGAAATGGCGAGGCTGAGAGAAGTTGTAGTTGTTGTAGTAGCAGAACTTGGTGTTGGTGGACTCGCAGCGTGGGCACTGGAGTTGTTCGGGCTCTGATGGTGGGGCGCCAGAGCCCACCTGGTTTGCCTTTGTCCCTCGCCGTTCACTGCTATCTGCAGAAGGCATTTTCTTTTTGGGTTTTTTTTTTTCTTCGGCTGTTTTGTGGTGTCTTGCCTTCGTGTTGTGGAAGTGAGAAGAGAGAAGAGAGAAGGAAGGAACGAAGGAACTTCTTTCACTGGGAGGTCCAAGGCCTAAGTGGGCATGAAGCTAGGTGGGGTTTTATGGATGGTTTGGTGTGGGTTGTGCGTGAGAGATAGAGATGGAGAAAGAGATTCTGTCTTGAGTGTTTGAAGAAACAGTTTCTGATGAGTTGAGTCTGACGGTTAGGTCCCAACAGTGAGCAGCTTTTTCAGTTTTCTCTTAACGGGGGGATATGAAACATATTTCAGTCGGCTCGAAAACAAGGCTTTGTTTTGTTTGTTTGTTTGTTTAGGAGTCGGCTCCTAAATGGAGGCTCTTGCTGGGCTACATTGGTAGATGCACAGGCATGGCTCAGTGTGCTGCTAATTGTTATTCACCATTCTGATTCTTTTTTCCCGGCTTTAACTAATTATTATTATATATGTTATATAAGATAAGAAGAACCGATACTCCTAAAAAGATCTAGTAGCCAAATTTTTTTGAAAAACAAATAAAAAAGAGTTGCGTCCCAAATTTGATTTATAGTAGTAGCTCACGCGAATTATATCGAAGGATAAGGTTGTGTTTGGATTGTATTTTTCATTATTTTTTAATGAAAAAATTACTGTAACGATTTGATATATATGAGGGAAAAAGGTGATAGGGAAATGTGATCACGAAAAATGATAATATTTTTCGACGAAACAAGCAATCCAGACAAAGCCTAAATTTGCAAAAACATCTTCTAGTTAGTGTTTTTTGAGGTTCAGTGTAGTAACGATCAACCTATGATTCAAGGCAAGTAGTACATACATACCAGTTTGTCTAGCCCCCAAGAGGCAAGTAGTTATTGCCCAAGAAGTGTCTTTCAAGGTTAATGCACTACTAATTGATTCTTTCTATCAATAATCTTTAATGGTTTCGGTAGGGCTCGGCTCTTGTGTTGAGCTGATCCTAAGCTGCAGATGACGCCCAAGGGATGAGACTTAAGATTAAATGCGCCATCTGTTGATTTGCTACTATTTCAGTGTCCTCATTGTAATTGAGTCACACATTGCTACTAAAGTGAAGGGTCGACAACATTGCTCACAAATCTCGCGTGTTTGTGTTCCGATGATATGATCAATCATCAAGCTTTGAGATGAATCATCATGTCCGATAAAATGGTTATAAGTAACACGTAAGGAGACATTGGACTAAAATTTGCGATAAATCCTGGTGACACAAATAACAAATAATATATAGTAACGTGGCTTCAGCTTATCGAATGCCACGTGAAGCACTAAAATGACCGCAAGGCATCGACTCTCAACTACTGTATTATATTTCTACCGCGGACATTTTCTCAATTTCAAAAAAGAAGAAAAGGTCTGATTAGCCCAGTTGGGATTTAAAGTAACCATCTGATCTAGAAGGAGATGGGATCCCAAGACGACTCTGGATGAGAGGAGCAAGAAATGGCACAGCAAAAGCAGGCGAGTAAGGCCAAAATTGAAAGCCCTGAGCGGGATAACTCTCGAAGCGAGGGAATACTGGTAGTAGTAGTTGGTACACAAATCACAAACACACAGAAGACATGCTTACTGCAACTACAGGGCAGCTGCGTGTAAGACGAAGATAAAGATTGAGGAGACGTGTACTGATAGACTGGTGTTTGAATTTGCACAGGCAGTATCATGAATGTCGGATTAGCGTGGGAGTGCAATTATTGGATTGCACCACCCCACTGAGCCGGGACCCCCTCTCCCCCGGCCCGACACCACGAGGCCCGTCGTTTTCTTCCCCTCTTCAGATTCCCCATCATCTTCCGTACTCTAATTCTTGCCGGATATTCCGCTCCCTTGTCCTCTTCCCTCTCGTATGTGCTCCTCCCCACGGTAACTACTCTGCTCCCCCTCCATTCCCAGCCCTCCAGAAATGAAACTAAAAATTCTTTGGTCAACCAATGAAGAAGTAGAGGTACTCTCTACTCTCTTGGTGCTGTAGTCTAAGGAAGCAACAGGTGTCAGATATGTCAGCTGACAGGGTTCAGAAATTTTGTGGCGATTCTCTCCGGCACGCGCACTGCTGCGCAAGTAGTCAAGGGGTGTGCATTAGTAGCGGTAGTACTTGTAGGACTGCAAGAACGATTCATCATGCATGCAGGCACTTGCTGGCGCAGCCAGGGCGATTTTCCAGCAATTGGCCATTTGGCATGGGCTGCTGCTAGCTGCTCAAACTATCAATAATACACTTCTCCTGCTGCTATATTAACTGCATGCCAACATTGCCTTTGTGCCCTTTGGCTGGCCGGATCGGTGTAGTGCATAAAAATCTCTTTCTAACTTCTAATCTGCTGTCGCTTTCTGTCCAAGTATTCATGTTCACAGGATATGTGTGTGTTACAGTGCCGGTACGGTAATTTTGACTGTTCATTTGGTTGCCAAATGTAGGTCGACAGTGTGTACATTGCGTCTCTGCTCTTCTGCTTTTAGGACTTCCTTTTCTTTTTGTCTTTTGCTAAGGGGAATATTTGTAGTTCTCATTCTTGATCTGGTTCGCCCTTGACTCTTGATGTCCATCTTCTTCCACGCCGGCCCACACCCGAAGAAATCATAAATTTTGGAGTAAATCACGAAAAGTCCCTCTAATGTTTGCAGTGCTTTGTACTGTTTCCCCAAATGTGTCTTTTTAGCACTTTATCCCCTCTGTTAGTTCATTGCAACAAACAAATCATACATTGAAACATTAAACTAGATGAAAATACCCCCCCCCCCCATTTAAGTTGCTCAAGTTTTTGATAGAAATGCCCCCATCTATTATTTATAAAGGAACATCTCATAAATATTTTGTTATTATTCCATCGTTCACTAGATCTTTTAATCTTCCAAATCCTAAATTGCTATAAAAAAAAAAAGGAATACAATTTCTCAAAATTCTTCAAATTCGTTTTCTCACTCTTTCTCTAGATGTTGTCCATCACGGCATCTAAATGAACCAAAGTAAAAAACCTGTGGGTGTGGTAAAAACCATTCTTAAGAAAATCATAGACACCAAAAAATTTTGGAAAGAGATTTCTTGGATGTTCAAAATTATAAGGCATGATTTTGTACGATAAATTAATGTCTTTTTTCTTTTACTTTTTGACAAAATAATTTGAAAACCAAAAAGTTGGTTTTTTTAAGAATTGTCAAACATATGATCTTCTCGTCTCTCTTTGCAAAATATATAAACAATAGCAAGTTTTTTTCGTCTGAAAAAGGGTATTTTTAATAAAAAAAATATTGTTTGACCCAGACCCATAGGCGGTGTTGTCTATCCATTATTTTACCAGAGATATCATTGTCCTTTACCTATTAATTGTCACCACAATCATTACTTGAATGTTTTGACTACTAGTCAAAGGAATAAAGTGCCAAAAAAAATAACATAAAAGGGTAAAGTGCAAAACATTACAAACCTTAAGGAGACTTTTTTGTGTTTTTTTCCTAAAACGTTACAATTGAATTGCCATTCAAATGATCATCATCTAGGAGTATTTAATTAAAAACTTCCAAATCCTTGGTTAAATCTCGACTTGCTTAATGGAATAATCAGCTAAAGTACTATTTGAGGAGGAGATTTGGAGTAAGAGTAGGCGGGTGTAAGACTTAATCTTGGACTTGGCAAAAAACTAAAATATGAAGTTTGAAATTTGAAAACTAAAATTCAAGAACTGAAGTCTGAATTGGCCGAACTGTTTGATGATATACTGAATTACAAAAATTTTATTATATGTATATTATATAACAAATAACTTGTTTTACTATTCTAAATTAGTTCTTTAAATATTACTCATTAATGTTGTTAAGTTTAAACTGATTATAAAGTTTTTTTTAGGTGATTATAGATTTTAACTTTTTTGGCTAGTGAATACACACATATCCACCTTCTAAGAGAAGATATATGCAGCCATTCTGCTTTGCTGGATCTTGAAGAATAAATACTCATGCAATTAACTTGTGGTTGTTTAGGTCTTAGCAGCAGCTCGCCTGCTTAGGTGGTTATCCCACATCGAAGGTTTTGGAGGGGGCTGCTTTGGGTAGTTTATAAATCTCCTCAGGAACCACAAGAGTTGCCGGCTTTTATGATTTCACGTGAAATTAGGTTTGTAAAATGTCAAAAAGTCAATTCTAGCTTTGGAAAAAAAAAATTAACTTGTATGCGCTAAATTTATTTGTTTTTTGCCAAAAGGATTTCATCTATGTACGAAGGTAAATACCCCAAAGTACCAATCACGAGGAGACGAGAGAATTATCAAATTTTCTATTTCGAATGGCTGCGTACTTGCTACTATATGCAATCTGCAAGTATCGGGATATATGATCAGGATAACCGGCCGGCCCCAGCAAATAACTTTTTTTTGGTTGAACCATAATGCTGGAGTGGTGATAATAATGATATAGAGAGAGTAGACCCAGAAATATTTGGATATCGAGGGTTTTTGGGAGTAAGATTGGATGTATACAGTACAATGTGTTTACAGCTTATTAAACTCATCGATTGCTAATATAATATAAGCCGTGCTACATTTTTCTTTCTTTCTCTTTTCTAAGGTTGAATAATTGAATTTTGATCAGCTAGCTGCTGATGGCGTGACTAATCCATTGATGTATACTGTTCTGGCGGCGTCCAGAATCCAGATGGTAAACAGTTTAGGCCAACCAATTGGGGCCTGCTGGTAGCATCCGCTTACCTACAAATCGAAGAGCCTACGAAACCAACCAGCGAATTCCATTAAGTTTTGCGCAACTTTGTGAAATAATGAAGCTTGCGCTCTCCATTATTCCACCAATAATACTCAAAACGATGAATGATCCGAAAGACTTATCACGGCAACAAAGTCGTATTTCCAACTAATTTTTCCTTGTTAAATTCATCGACACTCTCTTGAAGGCTCTGAGTGGTGATGCCTGTGTGTCTCGAGCATCGAGAAGACACAGACTATAAACTAAATTAACTAGGGGCTTGTGTAACGAATACTTATTGGATACTCGTTAAAATATAAATCAGGTATTAACATTTTAAAAATATAAAATTGAATAAAAGAAATCTATAAACGCAAAGTAGAATAATAGTTATTAGTATATGCACTCACAAAGTAAATTAGATGTGATTTGAATATCTTAACGATGAACCGTTGAGCACCTCCCAGAAAAAAAACCCATTAATTATTAGAAAAAAATAGCTAAGTTCATCCATAAACTTTTTCATTAGTATTGATTTAGTTCCTAACTTTTATTCCTAACCAGTTTG